TGACTGGTTCAAACAGAGTCTGTTATATCCGTGCCCTTAGCACTAATGTCTTTTGTCCACTGATGAAAAACAGTAACATAGGCCCAAATTACTACCTGATCAGGTGAGGTTCTGAAGCCAGTCAGTATACTTGTCTTTATACATTACATGTGACCCATGTTCACAAAAGCCCCTTTTCCATTGGAAAATCTTACTCTAATCTGTTTGTGGATGTTTTAGTCCTGCTCRAGTGTAGGGGTCTCTTCATGGCGGTCTGTCCCTCACCCTGTGGATGGATCATCAGTGCACGGCTCGTTTGGTAGTCTGACTTTTATTAAGTGTGCGTGTAACAAAGGGCAGTCAATTTGTCCTTAACCTTTAAATATACCTGCTCAAGCTGTTTGTGCTTGTTTTATGCACATCTCCCCAGGAAGAGTTTGCGGTTCTGCCTTGGCTGGGCCCTTCCATAGGCAGGCATGTGTTGATTTCAAAATCACATGTGTAATACTTGCATGAAATCACTGCTGAGGTAGATCTGAAAGCATCCAAAAACTGATGGAGACACATATGGCAGACCTGGATCAGTGAGACTTGTTTATATTTATACCCAGGAGGAAAAGATCTAAAGAGATGCTGAGGCACTGACTCCTTATGCCTAACCAAGACATTTTCCCTAAAATTGTGTGAACCATTTGAAGTAAATACTCACATTTTAATTCCAGTAGTTTTTCCACAAGAAAAAAAAGTGTACCTGAAATAAATATCTAAATGGGTAAGCATATATTGTGTGAGAAAAATATTTTTCTGATAATATTTATTTATGGATACAGTGCTCAGTAATGTCAGTGGAAGTGTGTTTTAATACACTGTAGGGTTTTTGAGCAATAAGTAAGAAAATTACTTTTCTCAAAAACCCAGTAAAAGTGGTAAAGCTCAGAATTCCCAGCWCTTCTGCAGCATTACACACGCCAAAAATCAAACTCACAAGCAAACAGTTCTGAACTTACWTTAGTTCTTGCTTTCATCACTGGCTCTGTTATCTGTTGATTCGTGGTGTAGGCACTTAAGTACTTAGTACTTTAGCAGATTTGTGTTGTTCAGAACTTCACTGCAGCTGCTTGTTAGATTTGTGTAAATTAGKTTTTGTGTCATTGCTGTGGAGATTTGTACAAAGACGTCACATAGATAAGGCAATGCACCAAAGACAGTTGAATTATATCCATGACCGTGACCTTTTATTTGCATGCAGCCCTTTATGGAGCCCTATTACAGATAATRAATGGTAGAGGTTAACACATTGAAATGCTCCATTTCCTACCTCAGCCTTTGTTTTCTTTCAACCCTTCCAGACCCCTTGTATWGCACTGGATGCAACCTTTCACTGTAGTCTTCAACCATGGCAATCTGTTTGTTTGTCCCAGGTTACTCAGGCCTCCAAGGTGTGGGGAGAGGTCCCTCTGCCAGAAGACTTGGAATCAGAAAAAGACGTCCAGGCATCTCTGAGTTTACTGGACGATGATGAAGATTTTGTAGCTGATGGAGCTTCAGGAGGTGGGTTTTGCTTAATGATGGATAACAACAAACCACAGCAACAGCTGACATTAATTCACTAGTCATGCTTTTAATTATGCATTCATAAGAGTGTTAACCCATCCCAAAGAAGAAATTTGGAAATTATTGCTAAAAGAATCCAAATAAAACTCTTGCAGGACTTTTCCAAAAAGGAATACAGCTCCCCTGTGTACTGATAATGTTCTTAAGTGAACAAAATGTGAGATTTCCCTGGCCTTGAATTTAACTATTGACCTCATTCCTACACTTGTGTTTTGTCCTGCAAAGACGAACCCAGCGGAGAGGAAGATGGCAGCACTCCAGATCCTGACAGCACAAGTAAGAAAGCAGAAAATCTACTAAACTGAACGATTCTTTGTGAAATATTTTAACTGGTGGTAGATTTCACAACTCTCTAAACCTCCACAGTCTGTGGTTCAGATTAAAGGCCCTGTCACACTATAATGTTTTAAATAACATTTACCAACTTCTGAAAAAATTTAATGTCTAAATTTCTAACAGAAGTTAGATATTTGATCAACTTGTTAGCATTACAGTATGTCCATTCCTAAAGGAGGCCTCCGGTTGATTTGTTTAATTCCATCTTCAACGTAGATGTCTTTAAAATTTTCACAAGTTGTCTAAAAGGGTATAGTGTGACAGGTTACGTGTGTGCATGTGTGTGCGCGTGTGTGTGTACTTGTTTTTGTTACCTACTTARGTCTTTTTCTGGTATACACACTTACCATGTCAAGACCTAAGTCTAACTATAGGATTTATSAAAAAGGAAAGTCTTCAGTCTAATCTTAAAAGTAGACAGAGTGTCAGCCTCACGGACAGAAACTGGAAGTTGGTTCCACAAGAGAGGAGCTTGATAACTGAAAGCTCTGCCTCCCATTCTACTTTTAGAAACTCCAGGAACCACAAGTAAACCTGCAGTCTGAGAGYGAAGTGCTCTGTTAGGAAAGTATGGAACAATAAGATGTTTAATATATGATGGAGCTTGGTTGTTAASAGCTTTGTATGTTAGGAGTAATATCAATTTCTACGTGGCCAGGCATGAAGCCATTTCACRAAGCCATTCTGCAGTTGTAGGGCTGTCCATACTTTTCCATCTCAAAGCGATCACTCTCCTGGCTTGTAACATTCATAGTTCGATCAAAGGTGTTGATTTGTGACTTGGTACAAAATCATTAGGGTAGATGGCTAATATACAGAACCTTGCTTCTAAAGGCACCTTTATAACAGCTATATGTGAGACAAGATCAACTATGTTTTTCCAAAATATTTGAATTTTTGGGCACTCCCACATACAATGCAGCAATGTTCCAATATTAGTATTGCATTTCAGACAAATATCTGGAATGTCAGGGTTGAACTTATTAAGTTTCACTGGCGTTACATATGTTCTAAACAGCCATTTATACTGTAATAATTTTAATGCTATATTAATAGTCTGCATTTGTGCTTTTAAGCATGTTTTTTCTCACTCATCCTCAGTGATATCAACTCGGAGATCATCTCTCCATGCGTTAAGTGTTGACTGTGAGGTATCTTTAGATTTCAAACTCAGCATAGCATATAATAGTGATATTTGTCTTCGACTGTCTATATTATTTTAAAAAATGTTCTGTATCTGAGAGGGGTGGCTCCTCTAGTCTATGAATCTGTGATGTCATGAAACTTCTTACCTGCAGATACTTAAAGTAGTGTTTTYTAGGAATTGAGTATTTATGAACCTGTTGGTAAAAAGACATTAGTCTCCCATCTGTGTACAAGTCAGTTATTTTACCTAAGCCTTTATTCGCCCATTGCTTGAACCCACCATCAGCTCTACCAGGAACAAAATTATCATTTCCCCATATTGGTGAAAACTGAGAAAGTTTACATTCATTCCCTGTWTAAACTTGTACTTCATGCCAAACAGAGAGCGTATTTTTAATAAACGGATTTTTTGTCTGTTTCTTAAGTATTTTAATATGAGCAGAATAGATATATACATACTTGGAGAGATAAACCCCCCTGTTGCAATACTTTCAATAGCTGTCCATGCTGGTGGGTTAGATGAAAAATAAAACATAGCTGATCGCAGTTGCACCGCCCAATAATACCATTGTAAATTAGGTAATTGAAGCCCTCCCCTGTCATAGGGRAGATATAGTAGAGAGAGCCGCAGTCTTGGATGCCAATTATTCCATATGAAATTGGTGATCAATTTCTTTAGTCTACAGAAGAAATCTAATGAGAGCGGGAGTGGTGTAGATTGGAACGTTTCTAATTTTATATTACGCAGGTGGAAGAAGGCGGTCCTGGTAACATTCTYAACATGGGGGTTAAAAGACCTATCTTGATCAAAAATAACAACAAGTTTCTTTACATTAGAACTGGAGCCAGATTAATGCCATCCAGAGGAGGTGAAAGGCTACAAAGTTGATCCCTAAGATGTTCAGGTCCAAGAACCATAACCTCTGTCTTATCTGAGTTTAGAAGCAGAAAATTAAGAGTCATCCATGTTTTTATGTCTGTAAGACATGCTTRTAGTTTAAGTAACTGGTTGGATTCATCAGGTCTCATGGATAAATATAACTGAGTATCATCAGCATAACAATGGAAATTTATCCCATGCTGTTTAATAACTTTACCTAATGGAAGTATATATAAAGTGAAGAGGATTGGTCCAAGCACTGAACCCTGAGGAGCTCCGTGACTAAATCTGGTGTAAGAAGAAGATTCATTTTAACATTAACAAACTGAAATCTATCAGTTAAATAAGACTCAAACCATTTTAGAGCTGTTCCTGTAATCCCAATATCAAGTTCAAGTCTACGTAATAAAATATTGTGATCGATTGTATCAAATGCAGCACTGAGATCTAACAGGACAAGAATGGACACAAGTCCACAGTCTGACAGGACAAGAATGGACACAAGTCCACCGTCTGACAGGACAAGAATGGACACAAGTCCACCGTCTGACAGGACAAAAATGGACACAAGTCCACTGTCTTACAGGACAAAAATGGACACAAGTCCACTGTCTTACAGGACAAGAATGGATACAAGTCCTCTGTCTGACAGGACAAGAATGGACACAAAACTCCTGAATCAAGATCAAAATCAATCAAAATCCTTCTGTTGTAACCAGGTGTCAGTAAGACAAAATAAATCAATTTGATGATCAGTTATCAGATCATTAACTAACAGAGTTCATCTGAAGTTCAATAATCCACACCTAATAGTTTTCATTGTTTTGTTCTGGTAAAGTAACTGTTCATTTTTATAAGATTTTTGTGATTTATTTTTCTAAAGTTGTTTTTTGTTTATTTARTTTGGTCCGTGGGTGGGCTGACACAGTTTTAATGGGGGTTTGGGTGGGTAACAGAGGAGAAGCAGCAGAGTGGTGTTAAACTACAAATCTGCTTCCTGGTCTCTCTCGGGGAGAAGATATTTTAGTTGTTTGTTAAGTCTGACAGGATGGTGTCAAACCAGCTGGTGTTTGTCTGCTCAGGAGGGAAGGAAGAGAGTAACAGTCAGTTACATTTAACACAGGCTGTTAAACTTAATGACAGTTCAGATTAATATTCAGTTCACTGTATGATAATACACACAAATAACTTTTAAAAAGGAAAATCATGGCACAGAAATGTAAAGATTCCTCCTTTTTTAATGAATCAGAAAGGATTAAAACAGACTTCAGCATTATCTGCAGAACAGGGACAGGTTAACCAAAGCTAGGATAGAGTTTGACTCTAAAAGCTTTTTCAGAACAAGTTCAGGATGAACCTGTGCGGTCAGGAGGTCAAGTTAAAACAACTCATCCTTCATGCTATATTTATTTAAAAGACGCAGAAGCAGTGGCTCAGTGTGCACAATCTCACACACACACTAGATGCTGCAAGCTAAGCTATAAGACATCTATAAAAACACCAACCTCTAACAATTTTGCTCACTTTCCAAGTCTAAGACGTCGACCCTGCAGCCAATGTTTCAACCTAACTTTCCTGTATGTCCTGAAGTTGGACGTGTTAAAATTCACTATAGGAACGTCTTTTTGTCACTGAATCCCTGTATAATCCATGAGACTTGTGCTATTTGTGGGAGCGGCAGATGGTGTGTGACATCATGAGTGGAGATCATCATTATCTGAACTTTACAAAAGTGTATGTGAAACATAGATATGCATGTTTGAACATGGCCATATCCTTCATTATTCCACCAGAAGGATTGCCAGCCACACAGACATGCTGGGGGTGGGGTTAATGCAGAGTAATGGCTGAAACATACTCGCTCCGACGCCGACGGGTCGACGCGCGGTAAYGTGGTTGATYGGCAGTCGTTTTCGCACAGACCTTTCATAGTCACTGAGACACCCCGCTCTGAGCTCGGGAAAAACCCCTCCCACTGAACCATGCGTCACTGCATGGAGTTCYCCCCCGCAACAGCCRACAATCATTGCAGAAAAGAAAAGACTCGTCACTCACCCGACGTATTTGTCCACATCTGTTCTGGTTTAGCTCCACAGTTTTTATCAGTCAGAATCTTCCGTGCACAACGTCTGTTTTATCTCCATTCATGAGTTTTTCTCAAGGTCTGAATATCTTTATAAAACTCTGCTTCCTGGTGTCGGCTCTGGGAGCGAGTCTAGTTTTTTTTCTTCCATTTTTTACCGAGTACAGCAGTGCTTTCAGCACAAACAAACAAGCCATAAGTTTTTTTTTCACGGTTTGACTATCTTATAAAACTCCGCTTTCTAGTCTGGGAGCGAGTCGTTCTTTTTTCTTTTTTTCCCCCCGAGCGCAGCACAAACAAACACGCCCACAAACTTCAGACCAATCACACATTACCGTCGACACGGGAGGTGGGTCAAAAGTTCTGCCGGCGGGTTCAGCCAAAAGAGGCTGTCGACACGACGCTGAGAAGCCCGGTGATGTAATTTTCATCATTAAACTGCGACAACCCGTGCCGACGTCGGCAGTTCGCAGGGAGTATGTTTTCAGCTTAATGTAAATGAAAAGCCTTTAACACTCCCACTAGTACGTCAGGTAATCATCTGAAACTTTGAAGCCTGTTTTCTCCTTAATCTTGTTTGCAGAATGCCAACATTCAAATGACCATATCTTCWTCATTTTACTTTTGATTGCCATGTGTTTGACCTCATTGGATAACTTAGAGTTATCACTTTCAGATTCTGTAAATTACTCAAAATGGCCCTCGGGAGACTTGTTCCTAAGTTTGTCGTGGTCAGTCACATTATAGAGCCAAGCAGCACAGCCCTAGGAAGGAAATGCAGCTTCCTGTGCTGAATGCAGAATACTTTGCTGAGTGTTTTGGTTCTGTTGG